CTTAAAAAATTATATACTATACTAAATAAATTGTATCTCTACTTTAAATTTATCTATTTAGTATATCTAAGTTTAAAACACTGTTAGATAAATACTTCTTCGACCAAATTAGGTAAAGAGGTTAGTACTTGATCCAAATTAGTCTTAGAGTATTGTTTGATCAGCTTTTTATATTTGAGACATATGCTTTGACATGTTTGTTGTTCTGTTATGCCAATTTAGAAGATAAATAATGTTAACTGTTTTGGTGTATGTGATATTAATCTTTTGAAAAAAGTAAACTAAATCGTCCACTTTTTACAAAAATTTACTTGAAAAAAATTGGTGGGCCAACGAGAGTATGTGAGGTTCTTCTTGTAAATTTTATAGTTATATAGTTCAGTTTCTTAGTTTTTACTAAACATTCTTAATCAGAGATCCTCAGGAATGTTGCTTCTAGAATAACCCTTTTAGTTTAGATACCAAAAGTACAAAGGAGTTTACTAAAAAGCTTGACCCAAAGACACAACCTGCTCATTATTATATGCTGCTCCTTGATATTTTATATATATAGTAGCTTCGTCAATAGCAAGTTTGTTTATATAAACCAAAAATATTGTTATGTCTACTTTGTTGCTTTCCTATAGCATTTTTCTGTAATTTAGTTTATTTTGTTGTTGGCCAAGAAATCATCAAAAGATTTCTTGTTTGTTATTTCATAGTATTTTTGTTTTAATTCAGGCTTTTCTTATTTAAAACATTTCTTAACTACTCTTATATATTAAGTCAAGTAATATATTTGTTTGACGATACAATTTGTTATTAAAATATTTATTATTTAGTTAAGCCAAGCAAGCATATTACAATATTAAAAAAAATTCTAGCAGGCAAATTTACCTGCTAGATGGTTTAAGGGATAATTCTCAAAATTTTACTAATTAATTCTATTTTTATTTTTAAATAATTTTGTTCTATATAAATATGATATATATAAATTATTAAACTTAAATATACTGTATTTATTTATAAACTTTTGAACTAATCTAAACTAAACCTAAACTTAATATTGAACATTTTTTAAAAATATTCAAATTTAAGTTCAGTTTAATTTTGAACTTGACCAAAAGTTTAGTTTAGTTCAATTTATAGAAAAAACTAATATTATATAATATATAGTCAGACCTTGTTAAATACATTGCAATAAGACTATATGCAAAAATTAAATCAAATATGCATTTAAAAAGGTACTATATTTAGAAAAATAAAAATCTACAAGTGTTATATTAGTTGGGTCCAAAAGAAGACATGCATTTAAAGAAACTTTTCATAGAGTATATATCTAAAAAAGTTGCATTTAAAGGGATCTAACTATATATAATAATAAATTTCTTATAAAAAAAATTATCTAACCAAATAATAAGAATTAATTTTATTTGTTTATATAGCTTTATAATAATTATTTTAGAATTATAAAAACTTTAATTAAAAATTTTTTGAAATTAGTAATATATAGTTTATTAAATTATACCAGTAATATCCGATATTATAGCTGTTATATATATTTCAAAAACTAGCTAAATAACTAATAGATATATTAAGCAAAAATGTTTAACGTCTCCAAAAACCTTACTCTAATTAAAATTTAAATCTATATTTTACTATAATTTAGATTCTCAAACCCTAAATTTTACTAAAAAACTATTAAATATATATATATAGTATTGAACACCACTATATAGTATGTTTTAACAAACTTATTTAATATAAAAATTTTATACTATACAATACGTATTATATTTATTGTTTAATTCTATATATGATTTTTATTTTAATAAGATTGAGATTTACAAATTAAATTTCTTTTGTTTTTTCTATTAAAGTTTTATAATCAAGTAAATAAATTCCAGGACCTCTTGTTGAACATAAAGCTACATTTGATATAATATCTATAAAATAATGTTTTCTAGTTAGTAAAATCCAAATTAAATATATAATTTTGTTATAGCTGATACTAAAACTGCTTAATGCTAAATTTTGGACCTATGTTTATCTAAAATTTAAAAATTTTTTGGGTTCGTTTTTTTAGACTTTTATATATGGTTAGAATTTAGAGTTAAAATTATTAATAAAAGTCTATTGGTGTTTTAGCAGGGTTCATATTTTCAAATAGACCCAAAATTTTAGCATCAGCTAATTTCACATCAACCATGATAATAATTATTAATAATATAGTAACTAACCTTTGTCTTGCACCTTAGTGTAATGACTTTTGCCAATTTTATCTATCTCCTGTAAAACAGCTTTTATATTGTCTTTTATAAAAAAATAATATTTTTAATTTTTATAATATAAAAATCTACAATATTATATTTTAATAAATAAATGCTAACCTCTTAAATCCGATATAGGCCAAAAAAGCTATTCCAATTATTGATAAGCATTTTTTTAATAAATAATGTTAAATTATTTTTGTAACTGTTTACACACCTTTCCAATTCCTATAAAGAGAAAAATAAAAATTAATATAAATAAAGCTAACGAAAAAGCACACGAATAATGAAAAACTTACCGAGATGAACAACTCCTGATTTATTACTTTTTATTGCCTGTTTTTCAGTCAAATCCTTCATTGTATTAGTGAGATCATTGGTAACAGTATCGTTCTTGGCCACTGGCATTGTTTTTGACATTGATCTTGGCAAAAAAATTGATCCACGAATTGGAGGCGTACCTTTCCCCAATTTTAATTCTACATGCAATTCCCATGTAGAATTCGGTTTTCCTACTTCAACGGCCTATATGATAAAAATATAATATAAACTATAGGCGACGTAACGGATAAATAAGCTCAATGGTTTGTAAATACCTTGATTAATGACACAGCATCTGTAAATGGGAGAGAATTATCCGGAATTGCTTTTGCAGCGTGTCTCCTTCTTCTTCGAGCATATTCTCTTATTTGTGGTACATCCTTAATATGAAGCAACAAAAAAAAATGTAATCGCTTGAAATTTGTAGCATATATCGATAATGGCAGTCAACTTACCACTTTAATTTTTTCAGGGAAATAGAGAGAGTTAGTTTGTATAATGGATTTAAATGATTGATGGAATCGCAGAAAATTTGTCCTTGCGTGGAAAAACATTAAAAATAGTAATGAAAGAATATGCAGAATATGCACACGGTTTACAATTTATATGCAGTGCAACGATCAAATGAGTAATAAATATAGATTTTATCCGAATTTTGTCCCTTACTAAAAAATGAGTTTTATATATCCTCTTCCGACTACCGGAACCATTTCATTTTCTGATTTTTTGTTAGACGAGAATAATTCATATATAAATGAAATCTCCGAAGCAACTGCCCAAAGAGGTCGTGTTCGTGCTGTTTTGAAGGAGGTTAATAAAACAGACGGACCGAAAGATTACATGAATGTCATGAAAGTATGTGTATACACGTCTAAAAGTGAAATAATATATTTCTTCTTTTGAGCAAAATTATATTTATGACGTGTTCAAGTAGGTAATCGATGATTATTTGCCATATTTGCTTGCTATTGTCGATTGCCTAGAAGGAGGCCAACTGAGATTGAAAAAGGAATTTGGTGAGATATTGTATCCGAAACTATATTTTATTTGTTCGAAAACATTTAGATCAATTTTAATTCATTTGGTTTTAGAGACTTCATGGCGTTGTACACTCAGCGATTCAGTTCTTAAAAAGAAACGAGTAACATGTCGAGGAATTTATTATGAATTAATTTTCACACTCATGACGTACGGATACGCATGTTCTGATTGGGCATCAAGCATTATAGAAAAGGAATTACAGAAAGATGAAATTGATAATAAATTGAAACAGGTAGGTGAATTATGAATTCAATTTATTGTGCTTAATTGCATAATGATTTTGGAATCAATTAAAGGCGGCGGATATCTTACGTAAAGCCTCAGGTGTTTTCGCGTATATCTCCGAAAAAATATGTCCCAAATGGAACAAGCCACCACCTTCCAGACCTCCGGATGTTTTAATCGAAATATCAACATCAATATCAAAGTAAAATAAATACTAAATTTATTTATAAGATTATTTGCATTTTGTAGTCAAAATTTTAATTTTAATAATAATAATAATAATATTATTATTATTATTATTATTATTTATTTATTTATTTTTAATTATAGAATTGCTCTTGCTGATGCTTCATCAGTTGCCATCCGCAAAGCCCTCATGCAACAAACATCACCGTCTTTACTTGCAAAATTGGCTATTGGTGTTGCAGGACATTATGAAATGGCTAACGGGCTCATTAAAAGTTTAAAAGAGTCAACAAAAGTATGTAGTGATTTCCGAAAGTATGTGTCAAACGGCGTATTGTTTCATCAGGTATTGATCTTTTTCTTTTTTTTTATTTGAATATTTTGAATATTCAATTTGTTACTATGGTCTCTTTTATCATTAATTGAAAGTTAATTTTCTGTTCAGTCACTTGGAAAGAAATTCTTGGCTAAAGACGCTTACGACCATCAGTGGGTATAACTGTTTTGAAAGTTTCAATTATTTTTATATTCACATTGAAAGGTATCTTTATTTGACACAAAAGACAAAACGGTAGAGCCGTTGGATTTATCACAGAAGCTAGGGAAGTATTGCATTTATTAACTAAATGTAAATCACCTACGGTCGCAGCGCATGCGGCACAAGAGTACTCGGAAGTAAATGAACTATATAATATCTATGTTGGAATAAATGACACGGTGAGTTTTATGAAATAAATATAGCGCAGAAAACCTTACAACTATTCCATTTCAATTTTAAGAGTCTTTCAAATCAATGTATCATCGAGATTTTTTCAAATTCCACTTGTAACTTTGTTCCTATGATAATCTATGCAAAGTTATAGAGTTTTTCCTTTATATTGAATTGAAAGAATTTAAAAATTACAATTTCAACACAAATTCACAAATAAGTACACAATAATTAACCATTATTTTATAAATAAAAAAAAAGGTGACGTTTCAAATTGTTCCAAGCAAAGCTGATCTCCAGGTATTAGTTCCCGGAGGTCGTACAGTTTTTGATTCGGCAAAATATATACCACCGGCACCAGCTTTTGGGCCTGGGGTAAATAGGACTAACAAGTCAGAATCAGGAGACATATTAGGAGGTCGTTATTATTAATACAAAATATATATCAAGAATACTTTATCCAATCATTAATAAATTTGTATATATATGTTGTGTGAACAATTGATGATATAATAAAATAATATAATATTTTTTATGGAACGGAAAACTATTTGTTATTTGTGAAAAATGGCAAAAAAAATTTTTTTTATTAATCCAAACCCAAAAATTCTTTTACTTCTCTCATTTCAACAGC